GCCAGGATGCCATTGGCTTTCTTGCCCCCCTGGGCACACGGCCGGCTCATATTCAGCCGTTTGTCAACTAGAACCCCCAGGTCTCTTTCCTCCAGGCAGCTCCAGCCACACTTCCCCCAGCCTGTAGCGCTGCAGGGGGTTGGTGTGGCCCAAGTGCAGGACCTGGCACTTGCCCTTGTTGAAACTCATTCCATTGGCATTGGCCCAGTGATCCAATCTATCTAGATCCTCTTGCAAAGCTTCCCTCTCCTCCTGGGAGTCAACACTCCTGCTTAACTTGGTGTCATCTGTCAACTTGCTGATGTTACACCCTATGTCCTTATCGAGGTCATCAATAAAGACGTTCAACAGAAATGGTCCCAGCACTGAGCCCTGAGGCACACCGCTTGTGACCGGCCACCAGCTGGACGTACATCCATTGAGCACCACTCTTTGGGACCTTCCAGTCAGCCAGTGCTTGATCCAGCAGATGGTGTGCTCAATCTGCTGGATCAGATCAGCAGTGTGAGACTGCAGAATATACCAATAAACCACACAGTGAGAGGGGAACACCAGAATATCAACATAAAGGGGAGAAAATGCCCTATTTTAATTGTGTGTCACCTACAACCGCTCCACCAGCTCCCTGATGTTACTGGGGGAGTCTTCCACAGCTGTGGAACCTCTCCCTTGGACAGGAGGTTCCCTTCTCAACCCGGGTTTCATGGAAAGCCGGTACCTTGTTCCCTCCTTGATCCACGTAACGGGCAGTGTTGTTGTAGACCCTCAGCATCGGAACGAGCCCGTTGGAATTTCCATTCGTCTGCAGAGGCAGAGAAAAACAATCAATACTGATGCCCAAAGAGATAGACCTACATTTTCTGGATGCCCTTCAGCAGCCCACAAAACACTTATGCTGAGAGCAAGGAAGTGACCACCCCAATCAGTCGTTTGGTAGCTCCTTCCCCCTGCCTTTTCTTTCTTTTTTTCAAATAGACAAAAAAATACATATCAGCTCCTGGTCCCAGAGGTAATAAAACGTACCTCTGAAGTTCTTTCCTCAATATTCTGTAATCTGAAGGCTTGCATCCACCAGGACAGAACCCAAACACACACCCACAGATGACCTTAAGCAGTCAGACACAATAAAAGGACAAGGGCTAATGCAGGAGTCTCTGAGCAGACTCCAGGGTTGCTGATACATAACTGACTTGGAGTTGCCTGATCCAACAGTGCAATAAGGTCCTCTTTTTTGGAAAGACTTTCATTAGGAAGCCAAAGCACTAAGGAAAACAAACCTTTTTGCCTTAGAGCATTCTGAAAAGGGAAGGACCACTGAGCTGGCCTGACTGCTGTGTAACACTGACTCGCCCCAACCAGCACTGCTTTGGCAACTGAAATGCAGACAGTTCCTGAACCAAGAAGGTTGGAATGAATCACAGAATCATAGAATGGTGTGGGTTGGAAGGGACCTCAAAGATCACCAAGTTCCAACCCCCTGCCCTGGGCAGGGACACCTCCCACCAGCCCAGGTTGCTCCAAGCCCCCTCCAACCTGGCCTTGAACCCCTCCAGGGATGGGGCAGCCACAGCTTCTCGGGGCAACCTGGGCCAGGCTCTCCCCACCCTCCCACCAAACAAGTTCTTCCCCACATCTCAGCTCCATCTCCCCTCTTTCAGTTTAAAACCATTACTCCTTGTCCTAGCACTACAGACCCTGACCAAGAGTCTCTCCCCATCTCTCCTGGAGGCCCTCTTCAGGTACTGAAAGGTTGCTCTAAGGTATAGAATCATAGAGTTGTCCAGGCCGGAAGGGACCTCCAAAGGTCATCTAGTCCCACCCCCCCGCAGTCAGCAGGGACACCCCCAACTAGACCAGGTTGCCC